TAGATTTAAGTTTAAATTATAAGAGTGTGTAAAACAGCTGTCAATGTATTGCAATACAAAAGGGCTATCAATGAGAGTGTGTATCAAATATGAGCTCAAAGAGTGTGTATAAAAGGACTATAAACATAAAGTACCATGGTACAAAAACAGCGCTGTAGATGGTTAACCAATTAAATGATCATGATTAAGTGTATGATAGCCCAAAAAGTCCTTTTGTCATTTAATATTTAAATATAATTGTTAATACTTTTTTATATTAATAAATAAATTGATAAATTGGCCATTATAAAAATAATTACCAACTATTTGACTATTTAAATAATTTGAACAAGTTTTAGTTAAAGTTCCTATCAGTGTGAAAATAAATGTAACAACATGCAACTATTTGTAATACATTTTATTTAAACATTTAATTAAAATTCATTTTTAATAAATTACTTTAATAATAGTTTTTACTTAAATATTTACAAATATATAACATTTGATATATAACTATAATATTTTCACATAGATGTTTGATAGAGTGTAACCAATGATAGAAAAATATATTTAAAAATATTATTTAAATTGATAAATTTAGTTCAAATGAGTTGCTGTACTTAACAATGTTTATTTTTTATACATGCTCATTTGATGCAACAATTCATGAATAGTAAAGGTTTATGCAATTCTGAACCAAAAAGTAGAATTATTAAGTTCCCATTTAAATACATCAAGTTTAGTTATAGGACATTCAATTTGTATAGATATAAACAGAATTAAAACAAATATAAATATTGTATACATTATAACAGAATTGCAATTAGTTATAACAAATTTCCTGTAATAATTGCATGGGTTGTGAGATTTGAACCGAGTTTGTAGTAATGGATTTGATGTAAATATTTCTGAGCGCTCGGATGTCTTTAAAGCTATTCATTAAACCTAATAGTCTTGCGTTCGCCTCCGACTCTGACCTATACTTGAGTTGTAAATACCTCTTAAGCAGATACGTGTAGACATGCCTTTGATATCTGGTTTAATAAAACAAATTGTTTGTAAGAATAATTTAAAACAATATATTATTTAACAATCACTTACTTAACAGTATGTCTGAATTGGAGGTCCGGACGGTTTGGATTAAAAAATAAAATTAAAGATAACTAAAAAAATAAATTATTAGTGAATAAAATTAATACACAACAAAAATAAATACCAAATCAATGATATTGTGGTCTCCATCGGAATTGTTAAATATATTAGACAATAACCTCTTGTGATAATCATATTTCTCTGTTTGATTAAATACCTTCATGTGATCCAAACTAATCTTCACGGAATTGTTTGAGTCCTGCGAATAAAATATATCCGATTAATATACATAACATTAAGCATAGCATGTATAGCATTAATTATATCATGCTAATTGATCAATTACCATGACTAGAATCCAACTATTGCTGGTGATGTCATAAAACCTGGCGGTGCGCAATGTAAGCATCTCCATACCCCCGTATTTAATTAATGACAACTGGTCACTCTCGCACAACAGGTTAAACGCGCGCAAATTGCGACACATATTCACCATGAGCGGTACGTCGGACTCCCATTTAGCCGCTGCACATTCCGTGATCTCTTTGTAATCAATCGGTTCCCACGTGACCGCCGGCGCGCCGTTTGGTTGCATGTGATTCACTGCAAACATCATTTCGTTGAGATGACTGAACTCAGTCTCATTGAAGTTGTTGTTGTAGTCAGTGATGGGCCGGTCGATGGGCACCGGTAGAGATGGTTCCTGTCTTACGGTGTTATTAGAATATTCTGCACATTCGTGTACTTCTATTGCAATATATGGCACATTCTGTTTATCATAAATTCCGTTATCATTGATGATTGGCTGTAATTCTGGAACCGAATCACTGCTATAGTCGTTGACATCAATATCATTAGTGGATGTGTTGTCTGAATCCGATATCTGTTGTGTTGTGCTATCCGTTGCGTCGATATCATTGTCACTAAATTTCTCGTTCTCTTCTGCCAACTGTTTTCTTAACTCAATTCTTAGCCTTCGCTCCAATCGCTGGCTTTCTGTGAGAATCCGATTCTGGTATACATTTAATAAACAATTAATTAATATTTTTACATATATTTAAATTATTATATAACAAACTAATGACAGACCTCTTTCATAC